CTGGGTACTGTTTGCATTTTAGTCCAAGTATAAATGCAACCTATGAAAAAGTGAAAGATGAAGGATGAGGGAAGACCTGATAAATCACAAATGTGAATAAGTGTTTTTGCCTTTTACCGATACTGTCCGGATAGACAGAGGTTCAAATGTAACCACATGAAAGTATAATGGATGATTCTGAGAGAGCACTGATGGCTTTCAGTGTTGTAAGTTGTTCAGTGTAGTATTGATTAAAAAAAAAGGAGGCGGCTGCTGAAAACAAGAGTATGAGAAAGAGATAAAAAAGTTTTCAGTACTTTCTGAAGTGGCTGGTACTGCTGTGTACTGTGCTAACAGCTTAGAAAGGGGAAAAAAAGACTAGTGGTGTTTCCTATCAATATTAGATTATGTGACTTAAAAAATCCCCCATGCTGTGCTATCAAGTGATAAGCAAACTCCTATCCCAGGGGTAGTTATGTTTCACTACTCTAGACCCTATCTGCACAAATCATTTACTGGAAAGAGGAGGCTGCTGGCACCAAATGATGGGACATTTCCCGGACTGTGAGTGGGGTCTGGTGGCAGCCCAGCAGAAAGGTTGTGAGCCCATAACACAAAGTGCCTGGCTTAAGTGGAAAGCTGCTATTGCTCCTTCTAATTTAAAAACAGACAAATGAAAGTGTGCAACTAAATACATATGGCAAATTGAAATTTGAAAGGTCTTGATCAGGTTCCCAAGTACTACAGTGTTAGGCATGGTGTTCAAGGCTGGAATAAGCAGAAAATGTCGAGAGGCAGCTTCATGGACCCATAAGCCTGAATGGAGCACGGAGCTGAGATGGTCTTTAGGGATGTGGGGTGCTGATGCATGACTGTTGTCTGGTTTTGAAAATTCAGAGTGTACAGAAAGAGACCTGGGTGACTCCAATGCTGAGTAAGCACAGCTGCATCATGTTGCTGCATGAGGAGCAGACAACTGCTGGGGACCGGATGGCTCCCAGCACTGAGATTTGGATGTGGTGTTCTCTTCCTCCAGACTGTAAACCTCAATACCAGGGCTAATGGTATTAGCTGAGACTTCTTAGATCTCTTAGTGGTATTGCTGATGACTGAAAAGACTGCTTAGACTACAGCTTGCTCACTGCTAGAGGCTGGATATTTGTGTTGCATCTCTCTTAGCAAGCTGAGGGCATCTGACCTTGTTGTGGGAGAAAGATCTGGTCACCACTACTGTTTTCTCCAAAAGCAGGAGCAAAAACTGTGCATTTCACGCTAATGACAGGGCTGTACTACTTCATCCACAGGCCACAATCACAATGTGGTATTCAGCACTGCCCTACTGCCGAGAGAGTGGTGGCCTTTGCCTCGGAGAGCATGCGGTGTAAGGGCTTGGCTGTGCTCCCCTCCGAGTTCATTTTCCTGTCAGTCTGTCTGTTCACACTCATACCTCAGGCATATGTACTAGTTCACCTGCAGCTGCTGTTCTCCCACTGAAGCCACTGGGACTCAAATTTATTTGTTGGGATTTTTCTTTGCTCAGTGTTAAAAGGAGCAACTTGGCATCTGTCAGACTTAGCCTGAAGTAAAACTCTTGGTGCTGGCAAGCCATGAGACAAACTGTGAGATAAAGGCTGTTGTAGGAAATGAGCTTTTTTCCCACTGTGAGCTAAGATGCAGACTTATTTCTGATTCTAGACTGACAGCATGTGGCAGTGATAAAAGATACCACTCCATCTTGAATATCTTTACTCAAAAATCCTCGGGCCATGGAGCAGGGAAAAACTATTTATGTGCCAAAGAAAGACTGACAACTTTATTTCATTTGTCTCAGTGCAGATGCCAGCTGATATGTGGCAATTCTGCTGCCACCAAAATGAGCAGAGTTGAATCAGGCTGATGATTTGGCTGAAAAATAACCTTGGGGAAAAAAAAAAAAGTTTTTCAACTACTTCCTTTGACTTGTGCTCGTCACCTCTGACACAAGGGAGGTGATAGTAGTGGGTCACCAGAATGGGGAGTGGAGTGGAAGTGCATCTTTTGGCAGCAAGTTCCTCCTCCATCTGTTAAAGCCCAGTGAAGAGCTCTTCTGAGAACCAAGTTTACTGTCTCTTAGATTGAAATGGACCCTGAAGGATCCGCTCTCGTGTGTAACCAGGCAGTTTTAAATATCCTAGCAGCAACTAGAGCAACTAACTGGATCATGTAGTATTTAGATGTGGTAAATTGACTTAAATATTTTCTGCTTCTTAGGGCACAGCACTTGTAACAGGAGCCAGTAAGATAATTTTTAAAATCACACTTTCCATTGTTTTGAGAGTTGTGGCTCTTACTTTATGTATATTTTATACATACAATTTTTCTAACCACTGAATATTTAAAACCAAAATGGAGCAGAGCTTTTACAGTGAGACAATCTACCTTTTTTATTAACTTGATCTGATTACTCACAAGTCCTTTTCACTAGGACTCATGCAAACTACCAGTTTTTAGCTCCTGAAGTTGCTAAAGGAATGTTTAGGAAGTGGATGAGGTTTAGGCAGTCTTTCTCTGCTACCAAACCATCATCATACCAGAGTTACTGAGTCTGTTTTGTATTTGAAAAAGAAATGTAATTCCTGTAAGGGTTTTAGTAAGGACTCCAATGTTTCTTTCTGAAGGAGATTTGTGTTTATAAATCTCCTGCTTTAGCAACCCTATTATATATACAAGCGATCCAAGTCTGAGTGTAAATGCCAGATAGTTGGGACTCATAGTATTTGCTGCAGATCTTCCTTGAAGCCTTCATGCTCCATATTTTCCAGTACTTTGTCCATTAACTGATCTGATAGCTTCCTGCTGCTGAGAAGGGGCACTTTGTACCCACCCCTTTGCTCAGTAACTCAACAAGGCACCATCTGCTCGCACTGCTGGATTAGTTCTCTGGTAGTCAGCTGAACTGCAACAGGGAGGAATCCTATGAGCATGGAAGGTGAGGGGCTGGGATTTGGAGGAGCAGCGCATGTTCGTGATTGGGACTTTTCTGGAGCAACTGTAAGATTTTTCAGATAAGCTCCCTTCATTTTCATGATGTATGATCCTCATGGTTGTGGAGAAAATTTTTGAAATATAAAACTAGTGGGTACTGATAAATTGACGCATTATCTTCCTGATTCTGAAAACAGTCTGAAACAAAACCTTTGGAAAGGATCAACAGTTTCTTTTCAATTTCTAGGGGCTTGTTAATCTTGAAAGTCATGGGGGAAAATGGAAATGCTAGCTCTTTCACAGCTAACCTCTTTAGCAGAACTGCCTGGTTTATGCATATGAACTCCAAACTGTTTCCTCCCGAGTTGGAGAGACCTGATCCCTTCCCAGGCACTGTAACCTCTCCCAGCACCCACAGGCTGCAAATGCAGGAGATCAGATGCCCAGAGTCAATGCCTCTCCAGCCTGACGTCCATTGCCTGTGCTGGCAGAGCTGGTAGATGAGGGATGGTGAGTGGACTCTATTTCCTCATTTAATCTGATGAGAGCTTTGATGTCTTAAATCCAGAAGCAGAGCTGTTGTTACATAATTTCCAGCCTGCTGCAATGGAGAGCAGTGGGAGGTGAAAAGTCCAGACTCAGAATTAGGCCTGGCTTTCTGTTTGTATGCAAAGCCATAGAAACCGCAACATGCAAGCACCCATGGTGCTGCGGTGTTGAGCAAAATCAAAACAGCAAGAAGATACTGTATAGCTGCAAACATCAGCAGCAGCAGCAGCAAGGCAAGCCTGGATCCAAGCCAAAATTGATTTTGTCCTCTCCCTTTAGAGCAGTCAGAAGTGAGACTGGTGAACCTTCCTGTCATCAGAGTCCCTCATGCTGTAGGTTAGCTGGCTGTGCAAGGTGGCTTCAGTGGTCAGGGGAAACATACACTCCTCTCTCTATCGTGGCACCGTAAGGTTTTTTCTTAAGTCCCTGCTGCATGTCTTTCTGGGATCCCAGCCTATCCAGCATCTCTCATGATGCTTACTCTCCTTTGAAAGGCTGCTTTGTCAAGCCATGCTACCAGCTGAAAATGCTGTGTCCCTCCATCTCCTGCTTAGTCAGAGAAAAACCTGGTGTGTGTGACATTTCTTTCCTTGGGACTAGGTTTCTACTTCTACCTGTTTTGCAGCCAGGCAAGGAAATAGTTGTGTGGGTTATTGGAGTAATGAATGAAGTGCTGGATAAAGGCAGTGCTAGCTCTTATCTGGCCAAATGCTGTCTCATGCCTGCTGCCAGGGGCTGCAGCAGCTCGGCTGCTGCACAAGGGGAGAGAATTCACACTTGTGTGATTTGCAGAGCTCAGCCATATGTCTGCAATACACTTTTGGGTCAAGCTGGTCTTTATTATTGTATTTATCTCCTCTCTGACTGGGAACCCCTGTTCATGCAGGCCTGCTGGTTTTTTTGTTTCATCTGTCACTTTCTAGGACTGAGCTTTCATGGAGCAAATCCAGAGACATCATAGCAACTGCCCAGCTTCGTTATCGCGGATGGGGTCATCGAGCAGCTAAGCCCTGTTACTGTGA